GCTGTGGGGTGAGTGCTGCATGCTGTGCCCCACTGAACAGGTCCTAGAGTGCAGGCTCCAGGGACGGTCTAAATTGAGTCATGCCAGAACTGGCATAGAAGGCTGCCCAGCAGAGTACAGTATGCAACTTGTGCTAGCTTCATGTGCTGTGGGCAGCATGCAGAGCTGGTCCTGCTCTGTACACTGCCTGCAGCATACCCCAGCCCTGGAGCCAGCACTCAGGGGCCAGTCCAGCAGGCTGTCTGCCAAACTGCCCTGTGCACTGGCTCTGGCAAGGCTAATCATCCTATTCTATACCTTGAGATAAATGGCCATCATTGTAGTAATGTGCTGTTATGACTCACTTCCTCTGAACTGACACAGTACACCCTGCAACATATGCTCATCAGATTTTTTTCTTACATATTTTCTCTGCTTGACAGACACTCATGCAGGAGATGAGACTCACAATAATTCAAATCCCTAGACAAACTTCCACTTGCTATGGCCACTGGTTTAGTCAAAGATTTAAAGGCAGACTACAGGCAGTTCTTTAAATATATCAGATACAGGAATGTGAGAGTATTGCCTGCTGGTGAAAAAAGGTACTATGGGCCATCCAGAGCAAAAGAGAAGTTAAAGAATCTGGCTACATGATTCCTATCAAGGGAGTGAGGTGTTGCAAGGGGAGATGAGACTAAAGGCTAATAAGAGATGACCTAAATAGGTTACACCAAGACATGAAGGAGAGTTATGTTACATCTGGTTCAGTACACAAAGAACCACCGCTGCAGGAAGCCACCTACCTGTTTCCAAGGAGCCTTCACTTGCTTCATTGGGGAAAGGGGCAAGAGTTGCACATATGAAGGGCAGGGAATGGGCATTAGGTAGCTTGGCAAAATGTTCTTGGCTGCCTGCCCTGGCAGTCCAAACATCACCCCAAGTCCCAAAGGGTGGTACACTTTCTGTGGGTGAGGGAGCGTAGGGCTCGAAAGCATCCCTGAAGTGTAACCATGTTGCAATGGGGTTGTTGGTTTTAGCCCTGTTGGCCTAAGGACATAGGCAAGACAAGGTTCTTTGGGTACGTGCAGTATCTTTTATAAGAACAACTAAATAGTTTGAAAAATTGTTCTTTGTTTGTGCCTGAAAGCTTGCAAAGAACAATTTTTTCCAACTGTTTAGTTGGTCTAATAAAAAAATACTGCATTCGCCCAAAGAACCTTGTCTGACCATGTTGAGATGTTACATCACGAGGTGACCGGCTGTAGTGAGAGGTGCTCGCATGGCATCACCCTGAAAACAGTGTTGTGTCACTCCACGGGGCAGATATGTCCCATCAAACACTTCAAAGACATTGGCAACGAAGCTCAGGTGCGAGGAAGACTTGGAAAGAGGCAGCTAGCTGCAGTAGTGTGAAGCCAGGCAGGGGAGGGCAGGATGGCACCTGTGACTTAGCCCCCTCTGAGATGCCCCCGGAAGACCCCAGCCGTGTGGCATGTGCCCATCCCCACGCAGAGCAGGACTCTCGAGTTAGCCTCCGCCGGCAGGGGCGTCTCTGGCCCCCCCGGCACAGGACGCCGCTTCCCACCGACGGGTCAAACAGCCCCGAAGCCAACCCGCACCTCGTTAGATGCCTCTATGCAAATAAACCGCATTCTCTCGGCCAATGTGAAAATACGAGGAGGGCACCGCCACCGCCCATTGGCCGGCGGCCCCATGGCGAGATGGCGCGTTTCCCCCTCCTGATCTGTCTAGCGCCGTGCGGCTTCGCCGGTCGGTTGCTGGAGCAACGGGCGGTGACGCGTGGTCGGCGGGGCGGGCCCGGCGCTCGCGATTGGCCGCGCGATCGGGCGATGGCGGCTGCCAGGGTG